TCCTGTCATGCAAAAACTCCTTTATAAGATATCCTTGTGTTTCTCCAGCTGCTGGTAAGGGTGTGACTTTTGTAAATATATGTTTAGGGCTTTTTTTTCTCTCTATTTTTTTTGTGCTGGAATGGGGGATTGAACTCAGGCCCTTGTGCTTGCCAGACAAGCACTTCTTCTACTGAGCTATCTCCCTGGCCCCCAGGGCTTTTAAAAAAAAATGTATTTAGGACAGAGTCTACGGGGTCCATAGGGTCTTACTACACAGATTGGACTCATAGTGATTCTCTTGTTTTCAGCCTCCCATGTGCCGGGATTATAGGTGTGCGCCACCACATCCAGTCTCAATCACCATCTCAGTGCACCCTGGGGGCAGGGCCAGCATGGTATGCCAGAGATTGAACCCCAGCTGCTGCACTGTGCCTAAGCAGGTGCTTTAGTCTGCTGAGCTATCTGGCCAACCTATTTAAGGCCTTTTTTGTCCAAATGTATTAGACAGGTGTCAGGTTATGGATACTTGGGGTTTTACATTCAGAACTGGGTTACAAATTCTGGACGTTAATGGTTGGTTGTTGAGTATTTGTGTTTCATAGTTCATATGTGCTCAGGTTGGCAAGGGGGATAGACTGCTGTGGCAGCAGGATGAGCTGAGCATGTACTTGCTGCAGAGCTGGCTGGGGGTATGGGGCAGGGGGCTGCCCAGGGCAGTGGTGAGGGGCTGTCCCAATCACAGAGGAGAGGAAGGCATGGAGCTTGCCTTGTGACTGACGCTCTCTGATCCTGGATTCTCCACAGTCCTCTGAGCCTGTACTCCTTCCTCTGAGTGACTAACAGTAGTTCATGGCCTATTTTGTGGTGGCTGTTGTGTTTCCTGTGGTTTTTCTTCCATGAATGAAACTTGGACCAAGGAATTGTTTTAAAAACAGAAGCTTTAATGAACTCTGTCATTTAGATATCAATCTCCTGACCATCTTGTGTTTGAACTATTCCATATACCTTAATGACTGAACTTCTGTGGTGGGGGATGGATTTGTTAGTCTGTAATGTGTACTCACATCATGGAGCATGGGGGAAGCCTGTGCGCACTGGATGCCACTCCCAATTTTGAGGACCAGAAGCTGCTTAGGTCTCCCCTATCTCCTTCCTCACCTCCAGGCAGCTGCTCAGTGGTTCACCATTCTTATTTATTTATTTAATGTATTTGATACAGTATCTCTCTACACAGCTCGGACTCTAGTGATCCTCCTGCTTACGCCTCCCCAGTGCAGGGATCACAGGCGTGCAACACCACACCAGGTTTCAGTGGCCGGCTTGGCGGCCCGGGGTGGGGCCAGCACGGCATGTAGTACCAGGGACCGAACCCAGGTCCTTGCGCTTGCCAGGCAGGTGCTTACACCACTGAGCTATCTCCCCAGCTTTTACCATTCTCCTTTAAAACAGAATTTCCATGTGTATTTGCATCCCTAAATAATTCATTATGTGGTTTTCTTGGGTTTTGAGTGCAGTAGAAGTGCTCTTATATAGTATAAGAGTGATACTATATGGGTGATATAAATGCTCTTATATCACCCATGACTTATCTTTTACCCTCAGCATTATTTCTAGTTTTTATTTATATGAATTCAACCAATTGTTGAATTACATTGTTGTAGTACATAATGCTATCTTCAAATTAGTTGTTTAGATTACCAGATATAAACATGCAAAATTGGTAAAAAAATTTATAAGAAATTAAAAGGGAGAAGAAAATTTAAGCATTAACTGCTCCTTTCAATAGACCAGAAAAAACAGCAGTATGCTGTATCCAGTTTTTTTTTTTTTTTTCCTCTGGATGCCCTTAGGCATGGTTTAGCTGGCTGGAGTGTTGTGGGAGTCGAACTACAGCAACCTGAGGCTGACAGCTTTGTGGAAGCAGCCACTTAAAGAACTGAGCTATGGCCAGGCCCCCTGTATCCAGTTTTTGAATAGAGTTCTAGTTCATTCATTCCCACTGCAGGGTTAAATGAATATATGTGACTCCTTTAATTCCTACATTTTATTTATAGGTGTTTTTGGTTTTCTTGGCAGATAAGTAGATTGGTTGTGAATAATGAGTAGACAAACTTGCAAGTTCTTCTCTTCTTGTGTTCTGAAGTGCCTTGGCCCTCTATTACATCAGTAAATAGAGCTGATGAAGGTGGTCTTCATGTTTCTGTTCTGAGGGGAGGTTTTATTTGTGCATCACCATTAATAATAGCATTTTCTATGAATTTCATAGCTATTCTATCATACTTAATAAGTTTATATTTCTAGTCTGTTAAGATTTGTAGATATAGGAAGTAAAGCCATGTTGTTATGTTGAGCTGTGGGGGACTCAGGTCAATAGGATCTCAAGTCCGCATCTTGTACAGCAATTAACCACTAAGAAGAATATATGCAGTGTATTATTTGTTGAAACTGTACTTCCGATTTGATTTGAAACTGTCTCATTGCTATCTGTTTATCAATAAAATTTTGAAAAAAAATAAATGAAAAAAAAAAAGATTTGTAGAACTATTGTAGATGGGTTTTGATCTTTTCAAGTGTTTCAGTCCATGCTCATCAGGTGATTTAATGGTTCTTCTTGAGTACTGAGGTGGTGCATTGCAGGTCTAGATTTTTGGGCAGGCTGATATTTTGTTGCAAGATTTGATCTGTGTTCACACTTGAGGTTGGCCTAAGTGTTCTTTCCTCATACTGTTTTTGATGGTCTTGCTGGAAAGGTTGTATGACCTGCTGTCAGGTAATCTCTTGGTTTTGGGTCCAGGCCTCTATGCAGATGCCGAAAGCTATGGGTATGCAAATATCCCTTAATAAAATGACATGTAGACTCCGCAGCACCTCCCCCACCCTGCCCACCGAGTAGGAATTTCTGCCACGTTCCGGGTACCCCCAGACCCAGTCCTAGCCCAGGCCCGGTGAGTGTGTGGGAGAGCTTCTGGCTACCCTGTGCCAGCGGGACCTATTACTGATCCCAGCCCAGGCGCAGCGTGGGTGAGACCCTTTTCCCCCCTTTGGGACACCCCCAACCACTCCACAGCACCTCCCCCACCCCGCCCACCCAGTAGGAATTTCTCCTGTGTTCCAGGAACCCCCAGACCCAGTCTTTGTCCAGGCCCGGTGAGTGTGTGGGAGAGCTTCCGGCTACCCTGCGCCGGTGGGACCTATTACTGGTCCCAGCGAAGGGGCAGTGTGGGTGAGAATCTCTTCCACCCCCTTGGGATGCCGCCAAACACTCCACAGCACGTCCTCTACCCCGCCCGCCCAGTAGGAATTTCTGCTGCATTCCGGGAACCCCCAGACCCAGTCCTAGCCCAAGCCGGATCTGCACCTGAACTTCAGTACTTGCTAAGGTTATAACTACAACAAAGATCTACAACAAAGGTCAGAAGACAGTGCTACACAAAATGAGAAGGAACAAAATGCAACATCAGAACCCAAGCCCACCCATAATAAGTGCAGAGGACACAAACACAGAACAAAGTGGGAATCACACAGCTGAAAGCAATGAATCAACACCTTCTGAAATAAAGAAACACCTGCAGAAAGGTATAGAGGAACTCAGATTGGAAATAAAAGAAATCCCTGAATTAATAACATCTGCAGTAAAGAATCAAATGCAGAAACATATGGAGGAAACCCAAGGCCCACCCAGAACAAGTGGAGA